TAACAGGTGTGCCTTCTTAAAAGTTAATTTGTGGAATTTAACAAAACTCCCCCTACAGAAGACACCTTCATCCAATTACTCTTATGGTACGTTTCGACCAGAAGCGGTGCCTCCGCTTGACAGAAGCGGTGCCTCCACTTCGTGGGCGTAGGCATGAACCTACACTACCAGTCAAAAGTCTAGACACACCTACTCATTCAAGCGTTTTTCTTTATTTTTACTATTTTTTACATTGTAGAATAATAGTGAAGACATCAAAACTATGAAATAACACATATGGAATCATGTAGTAACTAAAAAAGTGTTAAACAAATCAAAATATATTTGAGATTTGAGATTCTTCAAATAGCCACCCTTGATGACAGCTTTGCACACTCTTGGCATTTTCTCAACCAGCTTCATGAGATAGTCACCTGGAATGCATTTCAATTAACAGGTGTGCCTTCTTAAAAGTTAATTTGTGGAATTTCTTTCCTTCTTAATGCGTTTGAGCCAATCAATTGGAATGAGTAGGTGTGTCCAAACATTTGACTGGTACTGTATACAGTAAGTAAATACATTTTTTAAATGTTTTTTTTAAAACAATGTATTATTAGCTAGCTAGCTAGCTAGCAGGCCACTGTGTGTAGGCTACTTGTTATCTAGCTAGCTAGTCAACGTGACATACTATAGCTAAGTGAAATATCATCAGCTAGTTAACTTCATATTATCTTGTTATCTTGATGTAGGCCTATTTATCATTGTAAATTGAAAACCCATGCTCCAAATGCATTTGTAGATAACAGCAATGTAAGAGGGTGAGTGGGTGTTATAGGGCAGGTTGTGGGATGACATTATGACAAGATTCTCCAGTTCTAGTCCCTAGAGAGGAAAACTATGAAGATAGACAGAGAGATAATAGCCAGGGCTGTCTAATTGTAATAAAAATGAAGCTTGTCTCTTTGTGATGTCTGTCCTCAGATTTGGAGAGCTGCAAAAGCCTGTCTGCAGATGAAGAGGTCCCAGTGAATGTCCCAAGAGACTACTGGCATATCCATGGGTTGCATGTGTACTTCTGTTGTACACAACAATACAGTTAAAAGTCACACATAATGTCGGCTACAAACGTATTACAACTGTAGCAAGCCAATCCTCCTAGAGGTATGCTGGGTGTGCAGGCTTATGTTCCAGCCCAGCACTAACACACTCTATTCAACTTATCAAACCTAATGAGTTTTAGTAATAATAGCCTACTTACTAAGATGTCTAACATTTACAAACAAGTTAGATTATCTGTATATTTTTGATTAATTCAATGTTGATTCATTGAAGTGTTTAACTTGTCTTAATTCTTAATTTAAAAACATTATTCAAGATTAACTAGTGTCAATGTTCATTCATCACAGATCACAATTCTGCAATAAAAAGGTGTGAAGGGGATCTGTCTCTAATTTGTCTGTGTTTCTGTGTTGCTTTAACTTTTTGTCCAGTTGTGAGCTTTCCAATCGGTTTTATTTGATTGTCATGAAATTGACATGAAATTGTTTAGCGCAAATCCAACCCTTGTATTCTAGGTACAATACTCTAAATGAAAATAAGGAGTTGGCAATGTGTAGGCTAATTAAAAATATTAAAAATGAGAATAATATGGTGTGAGGGAGCGTTGTAATTCTACCTCGTTTATTTACTGAGAATAATTGTAGAATACAGAGACAGAATCAGAAGGTCAATGGCATAGAGGAGGATTGCATAACTGTTAGTGTTGATTGTGGGTAAAGAGACATTTGCACAACAATGTTTGCAAGTCAAGCCACAATTTAATTTACCCAAAGTACCCATTCATGTGCAAGTAGGCCTATATATTTACAGGAAGTGAGCTATAATCATCAATGTCATGACACCAGTATAATGAAAGAGCCAGAAGCTATAATATATACTAGAATGATAATGTTAAGATTCCGTAATCCAATTGGTAGCATATTACATGGGAAATTCATGCTTAGTGTATCATGTACAATGTTATAATGTGTGTTACTGGTGATTTCTATCCTTCTATCCGATTTCTAAGCCTTACTGAACAAAGAGCCATTTGGGAGCCAAATTAGCAGCTCTTTTAGGTGAATGGAGCCAAATGATCCGGCTCACAGAAAGACTCGGAATGCCCATCACTAGTACCGTGTTCAAAATAACTGGGAACTCAGAAAAATACGAGGTCAAATCATGACGTCGGTGATCTTCAGGTTGGAAAGTTGGAGCTATAGAGGCCCGAGGAGATTTCCAAGTTCCCAGTTCCGTGTAGCCAGGTGTTTTGAACACGGTATAGTATACTTAAGCAATAATGCCCGAGGAGGTTTGTGGTATATGGCCAATATACCACGGCTAAGGGCTGTACTAGCACGATGCAATGTGGAGTGCCTGGACACAGCCCTTAGCCGTGGTATATTGGCCATATACCACAAACCCCTGAGGTGCCTTATTGCTATTATAAACTGGTTACCAACTTAATTAGTGCAGTAAAAATAAATGTTTTGTCATACCCGTGGTACACGGTCTGATATACCATGGCTGTCAGCCAATCAGCATTAATTTTCACAGGGTTCATGCATTCAACCAGAGAGGAAGAGGACGAGAGAGGCCAATCTCGGCAGGAAATCTGTCTCCCTCCAGCATGTGGCGTTTTTTCGTTGTTTCGCCCACCAAGCGAAGAGTTTTTGTATGGAGGTCAAAATGTATGGCTTATTTGCTATGTGAGGTTTATTTGATCTAATAGAAGTTTCGTAATGCTTTAGTTGTTATGAGTGTACTAATATAAGTAGGACACGTGACATCCCGGCAACTTTGAGAAAAAACACTTTATATCGGAGTTATCTCGAGATGGCTATGCATATTCATGGTATGAGGCTAGTAGCGTAGCGTCTCTCTCCACTGAGTACACGCGGTTGACGTCAACAACCCTCATCGAATATTCAAAATAGGATTAAAATAATGCAATGTATCCACCAATCCAAAGAAAGGATAGGCGGGAGCTAGACAGCCCACCGTGCCGCTTTGTGGACAACGACTCCCATTGTTAGAGCGGAGAGACATGTATCTTGTCAGTATATCCATTATCTTTGATTCAACAAAATCACATGAAGCGGACAGTGTTTTGTTGGGGTCGTGGAGAAGATGGATTGATTGGGCCACATTGATGCGCGTCACATGAAAATGAACATTTGAGGGTCTACATAACAAAGAAATCAGTACAATTTATCATATTGGACGTGGGGGAAATTCTAAGAGTAGGGGGAGTTGGAGGAGAAATGTCGTCCCTAGACAAGGCAAGAACTAGATGTATGTCAGGAGAAGTGCAGTACTGTCATAAGGAGAGTTATACTTGGAATACGGAGGAGGAATGGAGGGAAAAAGAGAGGCAGAGGAGGTCAAAGAGAGAGAAGGAGGAAGAGGGTGAGCTTGAGTCAGTTAAAAATGGCGGGGAAAAGGGAGATGGTTTGTTAAAGAAGAATGGTAGAAAGTGTAAACAGAGTGAGTTGAAGACAGGAGGAGAAATGGAAGTGAATGAGGGTGAAGTATTGGAGGTGGTAGGTGTGGTGATGTTCTCGGAGCCCGAGGTTTCCACCGAGGGTCAGGATAAAGATGAGTCTGTGACAGTAGGAGTGAAGTTTTGGGAAAAAGTGGACCCTTGCCTTTTGGCTGATCCATTTGTGGTTTCAGAGTGGGTGAAAACAGAGTTGGGTGCTGTGAAATCGTGATGGTAACCAGAAGTGGTCTAGTGATAACTGTTTGTGTTTCTGCTGGTCAGAGGGAATTGTTTTGCTCTCAAGAAAAGGGCGCCATTGAAAGGCGTGATTACTGGGGTAGCAGTAAATGTGAAAGCTGACCAACTGAAGGGGAAGATTCCTGGTGTTTGTGATGCTTGTCATTTGGTGCGACGCAGACAGGGTGGTGTGAGTGGAGAAACAGAAGAGTCATTGTCTGTTCTTTTGAGTTTTGACGTTGAGTCTTTGCCCGACAAAGTGATGTTAGGATATATAAGTTATCCGGTACAAGCTTTTGTGCCGAATACATTACGTTGTTACAGGTGTCAAGCTTATGGACATGTGGCAGCAGTGTGTAGGAGGGAGGTCCCTAGGTGTGAGAAGTGTTCAGAAGGGCATGAGACAAAGGAATGTGTAGCATTGGGGAAAGTAATAATATATAATAATATGCCATTTAGCAGACGCTTTTATCCAAAGCGACTTACAGTCATGCGTGCATACATTTTTGTGTATGGGTGGTCCCGGGGTTCGAACCCACTACCTTGGCGTTACAAGCGCCGTGCTCTACCAGCTGAGCTACAGAGGACCACAGTAGTAGTACAAAGTAGTGGTATGTGTTAATTGTAGTGGTGCCCATGGGGCTGGAGATCCGAAATGTCCGGTGCGAAAGAGGCAGGTTGAGGTTTCCAGGGTTAGAGTAGTGCAGAAGTTGCCATATGCTGAGGCAGTGAAGAAAGTAGAGGAAGATGGGTCAAGGGGGTGGGATCCTGAGAGGAATGGTGTGAGTAGTAGAGATGTACCAGTACAGAGGGATAAACCAACAAGTGATATATGTTTCAGTAAGATTGGATTTTTGGCATTTATAGCAATGGTTATCAACTATACTTCAGGGATGGAATGTAAATCGCAGAAAATAGAGGTTGTGTTGGCAGCTGCAAAGAGGTATTTGGGTGTGCGAGACTTGACATCAGAAGAGTTACAGGGTGTGTTAATTGGTGGTGTTCCATCCCTTCAGGCTGTTGGCCTGAAGTAGGAATAAATATATTTAAATAGTGGAGTATGGAAGTTATAATTATTATAATGTTTTTTGTTTTTTTGTGAGTTTAGTATTAGATGGTAGGGTATTTGTTGTATTTTTTTAAAGCAAATGATAAGGGAGTTATACTCCAGTCTAGTAGGTGGCGGTAATGCAACATTTATTGGATGCCAACCGCCGTTAAACCTCATCGAAGAATAAGGTGTTTTGTTGGTGATGCGCGCCACCAGGAAGAAGGACAGGCGCACGCGTGAAGAAGGGAATGATGGTGGGATAGGAAGGCAACGCATCAAGCTGGATGATAGCTATCGATTCCCAACAGTTCACTAGAGCTAATAGATCGTACATCACCCAAAGGTATTTGCTACTACTAGCACTGTAGCTAGTTCCCGTAGAACGACACCCTGGAACAAACAAAAATGCCGAACATTAAGATATTTAGCGGTAGCTCGCATCGGGAACTGTCTCACAAAATCGCCGACCGTCTTGGGATGGAACTCGGGAAGGTTGTGACCAAGAAATTCAGCAATCAAGAAACATGGTAAGTGTAAACTTTTAATCTATAGAAAGCTAATCTGTTTAAATCTTATGTTACAGAAAGATGAGTGAGAAACGTTACGTTAGCGTGCTGTTTCTGATGCTGCCTCGCAATGGTGCTTGGAACTTGTAGTTTGTCACGCATCACTGGCGTTCATTTTGGCGCTCAGTTTGTTGTCTTTAGGGCTAGCTACACTTCCCCATACATTTCTGGATATTGTGAGAGCTGACAACCCATACAGGCTATAACCACGATTGAATGACACGTTTTGTTAAAAACACAAGTGAAACAATTGTTACTTGCAACACTGATGCAACAAGCGGTGTACTTCTCATTCTGTGCTGTTCAGTACTTTTCTCATACCATGGTTGTATTGTCACTGAACTTAGCCAACTCCAAACTCTTCTCTTGTCACTGCACTTCTAAGGCCCTTAGCGCTAAACACCTGTAGGCTGTGTTTTCTCTGTCTCGTGATTATCCATCACCACGGGGGCCAGTATGAAAATGTATGCACTCACTAACTATTAGTCTCTCTGGATAAGAGCGTCTGCTAAATGACTAAAATGTAAAAATGTAATGCTGTGTTAGCAGAGAGCGTTGTTTAACCTGTCCTCCCCTTCACTCCTCCCCTTCCCTGGGCCCTAACAGTGTTGAGATCGGGGAGAGTGTGCGTGGAGAGGATGTCTACATCGTACAGAGCGGCTGTGGGGAGATCAATGATAATCTGATGGAGCTGCTGATTATGATCAATGCGTGTAAGATCGCCTCTGCCTCCCGGGTCACAGCGGTCATCCCCTGCTTCCCCTACGCACGGCAGGACAAGAAGGACAAGGTGGGGGTGAGGGACAGATGCCTAGTTACTTTACTGTCACACCGCCGACCATTACACCACATCACCAGGGTTGGGGTCAATTCCATTTAAATTCCAGTCAATTCAGAAAGGAAACCAAATTCCAATTCCACATTTTCTTCATTGAAAAGTACTTCCTGAATTTTTATTTTGTATTTTTATTTCACCTTTATTTAACCAGGTAAGCCAGTTGAGAACACGTTCTTATTTACAACTGCGACCTGGCCAAGAAAAAAACAACTGCGATAAAAACAACAACACAGAGTTACATATGGCGTAAAACAAAACATAAAGTCAAAAATACAACAGAAAATATATATACAGTGTGTGCAAATGTAGCATGTTATGGAGGTAAGGCAATAAATAGGCCATAGTGCAAAATAATTACAATTGACTAGAATTTTTAAATGGAATTGACCCCAACCCTGCCATTAAACCACATCACTGACCAGTGACCCGACCACCCATGTTGCTGCCACTGACTGCATGGACGGACTCCAGCAGGAAGCCACATTAGATGGATGGGACTGGGAGCATGCCTGGGTTTTGTTTAGAGTTCATTTCTCACCGTTTCGTTTTTGCCATCTCCACTGATTTATGTTCAGCCCATGTGTGAACTCTGAACCGAGTGAGCAGTCATTGTGGGTTCCGTTTGTATTGTTGCAGTCACCTGCCTGCCTCCATTCCTCTGATTATTTATATCAGTGCATGTTATTGTCCTTCCAATATAATGTATTGGATGTATGTATCTGCCCAAAATATACTGTTAACTTTTTGTACAGTATTACTTATCTTGGGCTTGAAGGAGCAGAGTAATTTGAATAGCCTGTCTGGTGCTTGTAGTTTAGAATAGCCTGTCTGTTGCCTGTAGTTTAGAATAGCCTGTCTGTTGCCTGTAGTTTAGAATAGCCTGTCTGTTGCCTGTAGTTTAGAATAGCCTGTCTGTTGCCTGTAGTTTAGAATAGCCTGTCTGTTGCCTGTAGTTTAGAATAGCCTGTCTGTTGCCCCTTGTGGCTTAGGAAGTAAATGTAGTACAGCCAACCTTGTAGATGGAAGACTCAGCTCATATCATGTGATGTGAGCACAGCAAATGAGATGTGTGTGTGTGTGTGTGTGTGTGTTTGTTTGCAGAGTCGGGCGCCCATCTCAGCCAAGCTGGTGGCTAACATGCTGTCTGTGTCTGGGGCTGATCACATCATCACTATGGACCTCCACGCCTCACAGATCCAGGTCAGGAGCAGAGAGGGCACTGGGGTCTGGCAGTAGAGGTCAGGAGCAGGGAGGGCACTGGGGTCTGGCAGTAGAGGTCAGGAGCAGGGAGGGCACTGGGGTCTGGCAGTAGAGGTCAGGAGCAGGGAGGGCACTGGGGTCTGGCAGTAGAGGTCAGGAGCAGGGAGGGCACTGGGGTCTGGCAGTAGAGGTCAGGAGTAGGGAGGACACTGGGGTCTGGCAGTAGAGGTCAGGAGCAGGGAGGGCACTGGGGTCTGGCAGTAGAGGTCAGGAGCAGGGAGGGCACTGGGGTCTGGCAGTAGAGGTCAGGAGCACTGGGGTCTGGCAGTAGAGGTCAGGAGCAGGGAGGACACTGGGGTCTGGCAGTAGAGGTCAGGAGCAGGGAGGGCACTGGGGTCTGGCAGTAGAGGTCAGGAGCACTGGGGTCTGGCAGTAGAGGTCAGAAGCAGGGAGGGCACTGGGGTCTGGCAGTAGAGGTCAGGAGCAGGGAGGGCACTGGGGTCTGGCAGTAGAGGTCAGGAGCAGGGAGGGCACTGGGGTCTGGCAGTAGAGGTCAGGAGCAGGGAGGGCACTGGGGTCTGGCAGTAGAGGTTCAACCAGCCAGGCTATAGAGAGAAACTGAGTCCATCAGATGTAAATTCTTCTCTTGCGCCCTCCAATCCAACAGACACAATCAGCAAACACACACCACACATGGAGTTCTATAGGGGTTAAGTGACTTGTTCAAGGGCACAATAACTGGGGATGGTTCCTGGGATGTGAAACTGCTAAATGGCAGCCTCTGACACCTGTCTGTGTGTCTCTGGTATCTCCAGGGTTTCTTTGACATCCCAGTGGATAACCTGTATGCTGAGCCTGCTGTACTGAAGTGGATCAAGGAGAACATTGCAGAGTGGAAGACCTGCACTATCGTCTCTCCAGACGCAGGGGGTGCCAAGAGGTGAGACAGGACAGAGTAGTCAAAAAGCTTTTGGTCCGAGGGCTTTTGGCCAAAAGAAGAAATTTGACATCAGAGAGAGGGGGAGGAGACAGGAGAAAATAAATAGAGAGTGCTTGGTAAGTATGGGAACCATTGTGCATGCTAGACAACTGCTTCAAAGCACCGCTACTGCTTCAAGGACTTAACTTTCTCTCTTTCTTACCTCAGGTGGTTTTACCCTTGAGCCATGTCTTTCTTTAACTCTGCCTTATCTGTGGAGAAATGGACTTTAGATTCACACGTTTGTGTGTCTAACTGCTCCTTCACACGAACACATCTTTAAGCGATAACAATGGACTGACTTGGTGACTGTTGTGCCTCTGTGACTTGGCTGGCTCTTAACACTGTGTATTGTATTCTGTGTGACAGAGTGACCTCCATAGCGGACAGGCTCAACGTGGACTTTGCTCTGATCCACAAAGAGAGAAAGAGGGCCAACGAGGTGGATCGCATGGTGCTGGTCGGGGACGTCACGGACCGGGTAGCCATCTTGGTGGATGACATGGCAGACACCTGTGGTACTATCTGTCACGCGGCCGACAAGTAAGTAAAGTCTCACCTTATGACCTTGACTAACCTTGACACATGTATCTATGCCCAGGCAATGGGTGTCTGGGCTGAATCTTAACCATACAAAAACAAATATTAATTATGATCCTATAAATTAAACTGGATCTCTGATTTGAAGTCAAGACCTTCGTATTACAGAGCTGTGGAAATACCCACCACTATTTCACATTTCACTTCTCCTTCATCTAGGTGGTCCTCTGTAGCTCAGCTGGTAGAGCACGGCGCTTGTAACGCCAAGGTAGTGGGTTCGATCCCCGGGACCACCCATACACAAAAATGTATGCACGCATGACTGTAAGTCGCTTTGGATAAAAGCGTCTGCTAAATGGCAAAAAAAAAAAAAAAAAAAAAAATTCTAAATGAGAGTCCTTGCAGCAAAAGTCAGTGTATCCAAACAGGTAAATGTGGCGGCGCTATAATCCCAAACAGTTTTTTAAGGAGATCCTGTCCCTTCACCTTCAGGCTGATCTCAGCTGGTGCTACCAAGGTGTACGCCATCCTGACCCACGGTATCTTCTCTGGCCCGGCCATCTCCCGCATCAACAACGCCTGCTTTGAGGCTGTGGTCGTCACCAACACTATCCCTCAGGAGGAGAAGATGAAGACCTGTCCTAAGATACAGGTCAGGGGTCACAGCACTGTCCTTTGATACAGGTCAGGGGTCACAGCACTGTCCTTTGATACAGGTCAGGTGGTATATTAATATCCTAAGATACAGGTCAGGGGTCACAGCACTGTCCTTAGATATAGGGGTTAGGGGTCAAAGGCTATATTACTGTCCTAAGATACAGTTCAGGGGTTAAAGGTTGTATTACTGTCCTAAGTTACAGGTCAGAGGTTATAACAGGGTCATTCACCTTAACATAATTAGACTGTCATACTGTCCGATAATGTGACGGTAGTTGAAGCTGAAATTCTGTTGTTGCTACTGTGATGATGTTTAACAACTAAGACAACGACAAGTAGTTTAAATAATCTTATCACCTAAACAGTTTAAATGGTAAAATAATTAAAATAGTTCACTCTATAAATGAGAAAAAGCACAATGTTTCTGTTTATAAATGGTAAATAGTCTGACATGTATCCGGATGTTTCATGAACATAGTTTATTATGGATGATGTGTTATTAACCATCTGTTTCTCCTATAGGTAATTGACATCTCTATGATACTGGCGGAGGCCATCCGCAGGACCCACAACGGGGAATCTGTCTCCTACCTCTTTAGCCACGTCCCCTTGTAACACCACACACACACTGCCACACACATACACACCGCCTCAAACACACACACACACACACACACACACACACTGAGTCACCTGGGGCACTGTTCAGGAGGACACAACACCACAGAACATTCAGATAGAACAGACATGGCCATCTCTCATGCAGAATAGGGAATGTGGGGAACAGATACGATAGTCTTTCAGGTAGAATAAGGAATGCAGAGTCCGCTCTTCATTCCATTTCTATGCCCAGTATTCTGGAATGTTTCTCATCACTGAATAGAATCCAGCCCTGCTGTTCTGTTACACCAAATAGAGGAAGAGAGGGGATGTCCTATACAAACACCAGGGTTGGGGTCGATTCCATTTTCAATTCCAGTCAATTCAAGAAGGACACTGACATTCCAATTCTCTTCAATGCTTTTGAATTAGGAAAATGTGGATTTGGAATTAGGTTTACTTTCTGAATTGACTGAGATTGAAATGGAATTGCCCCCAACCCTGAGAAACACCACCATTATATTAGCATCACTCTGCTGCTAATGCTAACTAACCATGTAATAATTACATTTACATCATTTAGCAGACGCTCTTACAATTAGGATCAATGATTCATAATAATAAGTTAATTTTCAGTCCCTCTCTCACTCCTAAACAGTGGGAGCATCCCAAATGGCACCCTTTTCCTACATAGTGAACTTCTTTTGACTAGTGCCATATGGGCGCTGATCAAAAGTAGTGCACTACATGGGGAGTAGGGTGCAATTTGGGACATGTCTATGGGGGGGGAGAGTAAGCTGTAAGTGGGTGAACTCACACACACAAGTCTTTAGCTAATGTGAACAGTCTCCTCTTTTTCATAATAATGCTGTTACAATACTTCTGCTATGCTACAGAAAGAGGGTGAGATAGATGGTTGGATGGAATGGAGAACGGTTGGATGGGATGAGGGGAGAACGGCTCATAATAATGGCCGGAACGGAGCAAATGGAATGTCATTAAACACCTGGAAACCATGTTTGATGTATTTGATACCATTCTACCTATTCCACTCCAGTCATTACCACGAGGCCGTCCTCCCCATTTAACCTGTCAACAACCTCCTGTGCTTCAGCTGTTTTATTATTTTAGTCTTCATTTAATTTTATCAGTTTGAAAGATGAGGTCATAATAAGTTAAGTGAATCAGAATGAGCTATAGTTTACAGTGCCTCTGATGTTCCTCTGGGTGATTCCACATAGTCTGTAGAGACTTAAGTCTTTTAAAGGGGCAATCCAGGATTGATACTTCTATTTTGGGGCTTCTAAATTAATTATATATAGCCACTGATTCTTGAAGTATATAACTTATAAATGCCTCGTACATGATCTGCATCCCTACCTCTGTCTAGGAATTTGAGAGTGGGTGCATTCCTCCAACCCCATTCCTCAGCTGTTGACCTAAACAAGTAGCAGGGTGACCGCTTTTCGAATCGCGGATTGCTCCTCTTAAGACTATTGGGAATCATTCTTTCAGTGTGGGTGCAGAGGAGGCAGGTTTTGCTCTTTGAGCTTGTCGTTTTGAAGCTGTTGGTTTCTAGCTGGGGGTTTTAGCTCTGCAGGATGGAGCTTCCTAGAAAACACAAGTCTTTATCTGCAATTTTACATTTTATTTACTTTTTTGTTTTTTCAATAAAATTTGTATAATAAACTCTCGAAAGAGTGGTATCTGTCTGACTTTAAAGTTTCATGTATGTGCTTATATTCTGATTTTGACTTGTTTAACATAAGGTGAATCAGTGCACCAAATATCTGATGGCTGAATGTGATCTTATTAAAGAGATGGTGAAAACGAATGAAGCCTGGATTCTGTTTATTAGGTTATCCATATATCCATGTACTACTAAACTACTGTATATGGAATTGTTTAAAGAAGGTCATACCAAGGATCATTTTGCTATTTGATTTTGAATTCCCCCCCCCCCTTTTACATGTATTTAGCCCCTCGTTTTTGGCACTAAACAGTCTCCATATATACTTCCATTCATTTTTTCAACTGGTACCGGGGGACCTTCAGACAAGTCTTAGAGCAAAACCACCAACATGTAGGTGTTCATGAGTCTCACCTTTCCACCGATGGGTCATATTAGTGTGTAGCCCCAACGGTTCGGGCCCTACCGATGGGTCATATTAGTGTGTAGCCCCAACGGTTCGGGCCCTACCGATGGGTCATATTAGTGTGTAGCCCCAACGGTTCGGGCCCTACCGATGGGTCATATTAGTGTGTAGCCCCAACGGTTCGGGCCCTACCGATGGGTCATATTAGTGTGTAGCCCCAACGGTTCGGGCCCTACCGATGGGTCATATTAGTGTGTAGCCCCAACGGTTCGGGCCCTACCGATGGGTCATATTAGTGTGTAGCCCCAACGGTTCGGGCCCTACAGACAGAAGTTGTCAGATCGGCTGTACGGACTTCAGAGACCCAAGGCACTCCTGTAGCTCAGTTGGTAGAGCATGTCACTTGCAACGCCAGAGTTGTGGGTTCGATTCCCATGGGGGGGGGGCAGTATGAAAATGTATGCACTCACTAACTGTAAGTCGCTCTGGATAAGAGCGTCTGCTAAATGACTAAAATGTAAAAAATGTCATAGAGCACAATGGAGAACACCATCTGTTCATAGGAGTCTCATCTTTCCATAAAGGAGTCATAATTTGTAGACCAAACTGTTCGGACACTACAGAAGATTTTGTGAGAAGATAACTCGGATGCGGGGGATTGAGACACGTCCAATGCAAAACCACAGATATCTCTAGCTTAAACTAATGGATAAAAAAAAATTATAATAATGATTACTGTAATTAGATTTCCGAGGGGAGCGGGCATTGACCTTAGGGGGTTGTTAATCGATCAGCCAACAATCGGATCTTCTGTGATAAACGCTCCCTGCCCGACATTGATTGATAGGTGATGCTGTCCAATCCATGGAAATTCATCCAATGGTCATTCTAGGAGGGGCGGGAACCCCCAACCCCGCAATGACAACAGTAGTGCTCCCTACACCGTTATTTCCTGTCGGTGTTGTAATTAATTATTCTTTACCCCATACAACACATATTGTATTTAGTAGATATTTTCCATTCATTATCTTAGGCGTAGTCGGTTTATACTTGCGTACACCCTCCACTACACCACTGGCCCTTTGTGTTTTACAAAAAGTGCACTCTCCTACATGAGTGCGCTGGTATTACGGTTGCTGTCCTTTCAGAATCACGAACCTGTCACACACTGAAGGACTATAAGTTCACCACTGCGCAAACATGTCTATAATAGATAAGGCTGTTAAGATATTAATGTTTCAAGAAAGGAATGTATATATTTGGCCTGGCGAAGTGGTTTTATGCGCTGACTGAATGGAAACTGATCATTATTAGTTTTTTACTCCGCTGGTCTCGGCTGGTCTCGGGAAGAAATTACGAGCCGAGACCGTGTCAAGACCGAGTACAAATGTATCCGAGTCAAGACTGAGACACTCAATATGTGGTCTCGACTCGAGACCAGACTCTACACCGAGACCGGTCTCGAGTACTGCAACACTGGCAGACGGGCATGCTGTTGGTAAGGATTTATTAAACATTTAATTAAATTTGTATGTCCTCAGTCATCAATACTGTCTCTCTGATATCAGGTTTTTATGAGCCAAAGATTACTGTGCAATGATGATTAAAGGTTCTATTTCTTTCAGGTGCCTCACTGTTTCCTTTTTTTTTAAATCATGAATGTATCGGAGCCTAGGAGATCCATTTATGTTCAAGTTGCTCTATCAAGGTTTGTCAACAGGTACTGATAATATTTCAATGAACAACTACATATGAATCAAATAAGATATGTATCACTGAGTATAGGCCTTTCTATTGTCTTGTACTTAATTGGATACCATTACCAATGTCTGTTTCTCACAAATGGACTATAAAATATATCTATTCTATTCTAATTTGTTCTATTCTACTCTATACTACTCTGAGAGGAATCCTTAAATGATATTCTTTTGACCTCAGAGAACATACAGGTAAAAGTCAGTAAATTAGAATATTTTGAAAAACTTGATTTATTTCAGTAATTGCATTCAAAAGGTGTAACTTGTACATTATATTTATTCATTGCACACAGACTGATGCATTCAAATGTTTATTTCATTTAATTTTGATGATTTGAAGTGGCAACAAATGAAAATCCAAAATTCCGTGTGTCACAAAATTAGAATATTACTTAAGGCTAATACAAAAAAGGGATTTTTTAGAAATGTTGGCCAACTGAAAAGTATGAAAATGAAAAATATGAGCATGTACAATACTCAATACTTGGTTGGAGCTCCTTTTGCCTCAATTACTGCATTAATGCGGCGTGGCATGGAGTCGATGAGTTTCTGGCACTGCTCAGGTGTTATGAGAGCCCAGGTTGCTCTGATAGTGGCCTTCAACTCTTCTGCGTTGTTGGGTCTGGCATTCTGCATCTTCCTTTTCACAATACCCCACAGATTTTCTATGGGGCTAAGGTCAGGGGAGTTGGCTGGCCAATTTAGAACAGAAATACCATGGTCCGTAAACCAGGCACGGGTAGATTTTGCGCTGTGTGCAGGCGCCAAGTCCTGTTGGAACCTGAAATCTCCATCTCCATAGAGCAGGTCAGCAGCAGGAAGCATGAAGTGCTCTAAAACTTGCTGGTAGACGGCTGCGTTGACCCTTGATCTCAGGAAACAGAGTGGACCGACACCAGCAGATGACATGGCACCCCAAACCATCACTGATGGTGGAAACTTTACACTAGACTTCAGGCAACGTGGATCCTGTGCCTCTCCTGTCTTCCTCCAGACTCTGGGACCTCGATTTCCAAAGGAAATGCAAAATTTGCTTTCGTCAGAAAACATGACTTTAGACCACTCAGCAGCAGTCCAGCTCTTTTTTTCCTTAGCCCAGGTGAGACGCTTTTCGCGCTGTTTCTTGGTCAACAGTGGCTTGACACGAGGTATGCGGCAGTTGAAACCCATGTCTTTCAAGCGTCTCTTGGTGGTGGATCTTGAAGCCCTGACTCCAGCAGCTGTCCACTCCTTGTGAATCTCCCCCACATTTTTGAATGGGTTTTTTTTTCACAATCTTGACTAGGGCGCGGTGATCCCTATCGCTTGTACACTTTTTCTGACCACAGTTTTTCCTTCCCTTTGCCTCTCTATTAATGTGTTTGGACACAGAGCTCTGAGAACAGCCAGCCTCTTCTGCAATAACCTTTTGTGTCTTTCCCTCCTTGTGCAATGTGTCGATGGTCGCCTTTTGGACAGCTGTCAAATCTGAAGTCTTCCCCATGTTTGTGTAGGCTTCAGAACTGGACTGAGAGACCATTTAAAGCCCTTTGCAGGTGTTTTGAGTTAATCAGCTGATTATTTTGTGGCACCAGGTGTCTTCAAAATGTAACCCTTACACAATATTCTAATTTTGTGACACACGGAATTTTGGATTTTCATTTGTTGCCACTTCAAATCATCAAAATTAAATGAAATAAACATTTGAATGCATCAGTCTGTGTGCAATGAATAAATATAATGTACAAGTTACACCTTTTGAATGCAATTACTGAAATAAATCAAGTTTTTCAAAATATTCTAATTTACTGACTTTTACCTGTATATGTACCAAACTGTACTACTATACAATGTTGGTCCATAAGGCTGTATTATGATATGCCTGAGTATTAATACATGTTTTATCAAGCCACACTTTGCAGGTTATTCTGAATATGTGTGTGCGCTTTATACTGAACTTTATATGATGAAGATACTTATTTTATTGCCCTCTGAACTCAACTCTGGACCTGTAGGCTATGCTGTATGTATCCACAAGGTGGCGCTATGGTATCACTGTCGGATTTATCAAATGAATGCTGCACAACATTGCCCACCAGAACATCTCAACTCATGGATTTAACCTGGCCAATGATATCCCTCCTCTGTATGGATTGGGCCAATGGCGTAGCTCAGATTGATGTCCATGTTGGTGTGAAAAAGGGTGCGCTTTCCCCTATTTAAACCGTTTGTCCTATACACATTGCACCCAGACGTAGTACCTGTAACGGACATTCTCATCGCACATCCCCGCACCAGGTAAATATTGGTAATTTAGTATAGAAAGTATTGAAATTCCATGTCGCTGTCTCCCTCTGTGTTCGTTAGTTTATGGATGCCACCCTATGTTGCCATGATAGCCTAATAACGACATTCTGATGGGCGGTCGTGTTATTATGCAATTGTGAGGGGAAAAAAACAAATCTGACTTTTCTTCAAATTTATTTTTCAGACGGAAGGAAGGGACGGTTGTATTTGTTTGTCAGTAAAGAGTAGGCTATAGACTATTGGTTATTATTAGGCGATATGATTTCGTTTGTCTTTTTTGCTTTGTTGACAGCTCTGCAATGCATGCATTTAACGCACCCCCTACAGCATTCATTTGCCAACTAGGCTATTTAACATGTCTGTGTTTCATTATTGCATGCTTAGGTTAGGCGAATTGTCATAATGGCTCTATATCATAGTTACAGGCCTTGATGTGATGTCATGCCGAATACATTTTAATGTTTTCCGTTGTCGCACTGTTACCTAAAGCCCAATCAATGCATGCGATGTTGACGGCTGACATGCTTCTAGCCTACAGTCTGCCTATGGTTTGGCAGTTCATTGGCGTGCTGTTTTATGATAAAAACATATTCTACCGGTGAGGTCAACATGCCTTAACATGACAAATCCGTCAAATTAGCAAATTTTACTGCAGATAGCGTTGACACCTATGAATTAATGGTTAAAAAAAAACGTCACACCCAGTTATTGCACACACGGGAACCTAGATAAGGTCTGCCTGCAAGCAGATCATGAGACTGTTTTTTAGTTCTGCGTTTGTGTTCAAATAAAGTACCAGTGTGTGGAGGTGGCACATGATACACCATTGGCCCTTGCATGTGAAATCACACTGCAATGTACATTTTAGTCATTTAGCAGACGCTCTTATCCAGAGCGACTTACAGTTAGTGAGTGCATACGTTTTCATACTGGTCCCCCGTGGGAAACGAACCCACAACCCTGGCGTTGCAAACGCCATGCGTGCTTGGGTAACATAACGCCATAAGAACAGCTCTCTCTCTCTCCTGGCTATTTGTTCTCCTTTGTTAGACGGTGAATGGTAAAGTTGTGGGAGTGTGTGTTGATTCAAGTAACTGAATTACGTAACTAGCTAGAAAGTCTGGATTATACAGGTGTGTGTGTGTGTGTGTGTGTGTGTGTGTGTGTGTGTGTGTGTGTGAGAGGTAAAGTGGGTGCAGCTGGACTTCACCTGCATGCACTCACCTGTATTCTAGAATACATATTCGTCTAAGGACTCTCTCCCTCTCTCTCTCCCTCGACATTTACATTCTGACTCTTTCTCCCTCAGACATCATCTAAGATGGGCGACAACAACCCAGTGAAGCAGGGAGTGGAGACCTTTGACAAGAAGTGTCTGAAGAAGACCAGTACGGCTGAGAAGAACACTCTGCCAACCAAGGAGGGTACGTTTCTCCTACCCAATCTCCATTTCTGACTCCTACCCAGTCTCCTTCTTTCCTGTCCTGCCTCTTAAGCTGTCTCCTCCGCTTATTGCTCATACTCCTACCCCACCCTGTACCTGTCTCCCTCTCCGTTTGCAGTAGTTACCCTGTACCTGTCTCCCTCTCCGTTTGCAGAGTTACCCTGTACCTGTCTCCCTCTCCGTTTGCAGTAGTTACCCTGTACCTGTCTCCCTCTCCGTTTGCAGTAGTTACCCTGTACCTGTCTCCCTCTCCGTTTGCAGTAGTTACCCTGTACCTGTCTCCCTCTCCGTTTGCAGTAGTTACCATGTACCTGTCTCCCTCTCCGTTTGCAGTAGTTACCCTGTACCTGTCTCCCTCTCCGTTTGCAGTAGTTACCCTGTACCTGTCTCCCTCTCCGTTTGCAGTAGTTACCCTGTACCTGTCTCCCTCTCCGTTTGCAGTAGTTACCCTGTACCTGTCTCCCTCTCCGTTTGCAGTAGTTACCCTGTACCTGTCTCCCTCTCCGTTTGCAGTAGCTAAGTGCCTCCCACTCTATTGTACCAAGAGAAGACGGCAACACTGCACTAGCATGATATAGGCCTATTACTGATTAACCGAGAGCCTGGTACACCTGAGGGCAACAGTAAGAGGTCTTGTCCTTGTTCAACCTAATGCCTTTGGCTGGCCAGGAGGAAAAAGTGATAAAATACACGTGCCGTCCTAATGTAGTGTTAGCAGTGTGTTAGTGCCCTTCTACTGTAGTGTTAGTAATGTGTTAGTGCCCTTCTACTGTAGTGTTAGCAGTGTGTTAGTGCCCTTCTACTGTAGTGTTAGTAATGTGTTAGTGCCCTTCTACTGTAGTGTTAGTAATGTGTTAGTGCCCTTCTACTGTAGTGTTACTAATGTGTTAGTGCCCTTCTACTGTAGTGTTAGCAGTGTGTTAGTGCCCTTCTACTGTAGTGTTAGTAATGTGTTAGTGCCCTTCTACTGTAGTGTTAGTAATGTGTTAGTGCCCTTCTACTGTAGTGTTAGTAGTGTGTTAGTGCCCTTCTACTGTAGTGTTAGTAATGTGTTAGTGCCCTTCTACTGTAGTGTTAGCAGTGTGTTAGTGCCCTTCTACTGTAGTGTTAGTAGTGTGTTAGTACCCTTCTACTGTAGTGTTAGCAGTGTGTTAGTGCCCTTCTACTGTAGTGTTAGCAGTGTGTTAGTGCCCTTCTACTGTAGTGTTAGTAATGTGTTAGTGCCCTTCTACTGTAGTGTTAGTAATGTGTTAGTGCCCTTCTACTGTAGTGTTAGCAGTGTGTTAGTGCCCTTCTACTGTAGTGTTAGCAGTGTGTTAGTGCCCTTCTACTGTAGTGTTAGTAGTGTGTTAGTACCCTTCTACTGTAGTGTTAGCAGTGTGTTAGTGCCCTTCTACTGTAGTGTTAGTAATGTGTAGTTTCTCTTCATTTGACTGTATGTAAAGTAGAGGGTAAATCTTCACATGAGCATCCAGGAACAGTACAACACTGTCGAGAAGAACAGTTACCGTAGGTTACATTTTTACAGTTACGCCCAATGCATTCCAGTTATCAAGTACACACTTGTCTGACTGCTATCCAGCTGCTTTGCAGAACCGTGCTGCTCTTTTAGTGGCTCCGTGGCCTGGGGGCCATCAGCTATTACTGTGGTATTGATAACATTATGCTGAGTAGTCATATAAAACTGGGCTTTATGGGCCTGTGCATTGAGCTTTGCAGTCCAGCCGCAGTGGAGAGGCAATCTTAGTGCAGTTAGGGGGGGGGAGAGGCTACCTTTTGGTGCAGAAAGGGTGTGGACTAAAGAGGGTTTAGTGCAGTCAGAGATGGTGTGTAGAGGCAGCTTTTTAGTGCAGACCTAGAGAGGCCGTAGTTCAGACAGGGTGGACTAGACTGAAGCCTTAGTTCAGACAGGGTGGACTAGACTGAAGCCTTAGTTCAGACAGGGTGGACTAGACTGAAGCCTTAGTTCAGACAGGGTGGACTAGACTGAAGCCTTAGTTCAGACAGGGTGGACTAGACTGAAGCCTTAGTTCAGACAGGGTGGACTAGACTGAAGCCTTAGTTCAGACAGGGTGGACTAGACTGAAGCCTTAGTTCAGACAGGGTGGACTAGACTGAAGCCTTAGTTCAGACAGGGTGGACTAGACTGAAGCCTTAGTTCAGACAGGGTGGACTAGACTGAAGCCTTTGCTCAGAGGGAGTGATGTGAGAGAGGAGCAGGAAGAGGGGAGTTGAGCTCTCACCATGTTAGCAGCCTTATCAACATGAACTGATCCTCAGCCCTCTCCTCCATCAGTGTCTTAGATACTCCCTGATTCCTCCTTTCTCTGACTGCATCCCAAATGGCACCCTTATCCCTACATAGTGCCCGGCTCTGGTCAAAAGTAGAGCACTTTATAGGGAATATGGTGCCATTTGGGATGCAGACTCTTATCTATCCTGACCCAATCCTAACCTGAGAGACCGCATGCCCACATCTCCAACTTCATCAATCATGCATTGAAGTCAGTGGAAGGGAGATGATTTGGGTGGATATTAAAGGTACAATGCAGCCATTTAAAAAAATCTCAATATCAAACCATTTCTGGTTAACCATTAAGTACCTTACTCTGATTGTTTTCAGTTAAAATTGTCAAAAAGAAACAAAAATAGCTTCTTAGCAAAGAGCAATTTCTCAAGCAAGATTTTTGCTAGTTTTGAGTGGGGAGCGGAAAACTGAAAATGAGCTGTTATTGGCAGAGAGGTTTGGAAATCTCTTTCTTATTGGTCTATTAACTAATTTACCGCCTGGTGATGTCACTATGGAAGGCCATAACTCCTCCCACCAAAACAGGCTGAAATTTCAGGTGGTCTTTTCAAACAGCTCTTACACTAAAAGGGCATTATCATAATTTTCACAATTTCACAATATTATTCCAACCTCATAGTGTGCAAATGTATGTCACTTGTTTGTAAGTAGCAGTGTGTGGTTAGAGGTGTGATTTGGGTAGATATTAAAGTTACTCTCTGTAAGTAGCAGTGTGGTTAGAGGTGTGATTTGGGTAGATATTAAAGTTACTCTCTGTAAGTAGCAGTGTGGTTAGAGGTGTGATTTGGGTAGATATTAAAGTTACTCTCTGTAAGTAGCAGTGTGGTTAGAGGTGTGATTTGGGTAGATATTAAAGTTACTCTCTGTAAGTAGCAGTGTGTGGTTAGAGGTGTGATTTGGGTAGATATTAAAGTTACTCTCTGTAAGTAGCAGTGTGTGGTTAGAGGTGTGATTTGGGTAGATATTAAAGTTACTCTCTGTAAGTAGCAGTGTGGTTAGAGGTGTGATTTGGGTAGATATTAAAGTTACTCTCTGTAAGTAGCAGTGTGTGGTTAGAGGTGTGATTTGGGTAGATATTAAAGTTACTCTCTGTAAGTAGCAGTGTGGTTAGAGGTGTGATTTGGGTAGATATTAAAGTTACTCTCTGTAAGTAGCAGTGTGGTTAGAGGTGTGATTTGGGTAGATATTAAAGTTACTCTCTGTAAGTAGCAGTGTGGTTAGAGGTGTGATTTGGGTAGATATTAAAGTTACTCTCTGTAAGTAGCAGTGTGGTTAGAGGTGTGATTTGGGTAGATATTAAAGTTACTCTCTGTAAGTAGCAGTGTGGTTAAAGGTGTGATTTGGGTAGATATTAAAGTTACTCTCTGTAAGTAGCAGTGTGGTTAGAGGTGTGACTTGGGTAGATATTAAAGTTACTCTCTGTAAGTAGCAGTGTGGTTAGAGGTGTGATTTGGGTAGATATTAAAGTTACTCTCTGTAAGTAGCAGTGTGGTTAGAGGTGTGATTTGGGTAGATATTAAAGTTACTCTCTGTAAGTAGCAGTGTGGTTAGAGGTGTGATTTGGGTAGATATTAAAGTTACTCTCTGTAAGTAGCAGTGTGTGGTTAGAGGTGTGATTTGGGTAGATATTAAAGTTACTCTCTGTAAGTAGCAGTGTGTGGTTAGAGGTGTGATTTGGGTAGATATTAAAGTTACTCTCTGTAAGTAGCAGTGTGGTTAGAGGTGTGATTTGGGTAGATATTAAAGTTACTCTCTGTAAGTAGCAGTGTGTGGTTAGAGGTGTGATTTGGGTAGATATTAAAGTTACTCTCTGTAAGTAGCAGTGTGGTTAGAGGTGTGATTTGGGTAGATATTAAAGTTACTCTCTGTAAGTAGCAGTGTGGTTAGAGGTGTGATTTGGGTAGATATTAAAGTTACTCTCTGTAAGTAGCAGTGTGGTTAGAGGTGTGATTTGGGTAGATATTAAAGTTACTCTCTGTAAGTAGCAGTGTGGTTAGAGGTGTGATTTGGGTAGATATTAAAGTTACTCTCTGTAAGTAGCAGTGTGGTTAAAGGTGTGATTTGGGTAGATATTAAAGTTACTCTCTGTAAGTAGCAGTGTGGTTAGAGGTGTGACTTGGGTAGATATTAAAGTTACTCTCTGTAAGTAGCAGTGTGGTTAGAGGTGTGATTTGGGTAGATATTAAAGTTACTCTCTGTAAGTAGCAGTGTGGTTAGAGGTGTGATTTGGGTAGATATTAAAGTTACTCTCTGTAAGTAGCAGTGTGGTTAGAGGTGTGACTTGGGTAGATATTAAGTTACTCTCTGTAAGTAGCAGTGTGGTTAGAGGTGTGATTTGGGTAGATATTAAAGTTACTCTCTGTAAGTAGCAGTGTGTGGTTAGAGGTGTGACTTGGGTAGATATTAAAGTTACTCTCTGTAAGTAGTAGTGTGGTTAGAGGTGTGACTTGGGTAGATATTAAAGTTACTCTCTGTAAGTAGCAGTGTGTGGTTAGAGGTGTGATTTGGGTAGATATTAAAGTTACTCTCTGTAAGTAGCAGTGTGGTTAGAGGTGTGACTTGGGTAGATATTAAAGTTACTCTCTGTAAGTAGCAGTGTGGTTAGAGGTGTGACTTGGGTAGATATTAAAGTTACTCTCTGTAAGTAGCAGTGTGGTTAGAGGTGTGATTTGGGTAGATATTAAAGTTACTCTCTGTAAGTAGCAGTGTGTGGTTAGAGGTGTGACTTGGGTAGATATTAAAGTTACTCTCTGTAAGTAGCAGTGTGTGGTTAGAGGTGTGACTTGGGTAGATATTAAAGTTACTCTCTGTAAGTAGCAGTGTGGTTAGAGGTGTGACTTGGGTAGATATTAAAGTTACTCTCTGTAAGTAGCAGTGTGGTTAGAGGTGTGACTTGGGTAGATATTAAAGTTACTCTCTGTAAGTAGCAGTGTGGTTAGAGGTGTGACTTGGGTAGATATTAAAGTTACTCTCTGTAAGTAGCAGTGTGTGGTTAGAGGTGTGACTTGGGTAGATATTAAAGTTACTCTCTGTAAGTAGCAGTGTGGTTAGAGGTGTGACTTGGGTAGATATTAAAGTTACTCTCTGTAAGTAGCAGTGTTCACTGCTCTAGAAACATCAGCTGCAATAACCCCCACCCCAGGACAGAGAACACTGCAATGCAGGGAGGAACCTCTAGTATAGAAATGTAGAACCCCAATTGAAGTAGGTTAGTTATTCTTTCTAATTTTCAGTTCTCTATTTGCCAGGTATTTATGTCAGTATTACATGCTAATAATATTAAAATTACATGACAATTACTCTGTTACCATTTTCTATTATGTAGTCTTCCATTTTATTTCTTAACGCACAATTTCCCCATAAATCCCTGGCACATACCAACTTAGACAGGGCTGTACAGTGCAGTATTACCAGCAGATATACCATATAGCTTCACTCACACCTCACACAGCTTCACACACCTCTTGAAGATTTACAGTAGAAACCAGACGAGAGGGTTGTTGATAGCAGGGTTTACAGTAGAAATCTGACGAGAGGGTTGTTGATAGCAGGGTTTACAGTAGAAATCTGACGAGAGGGTTGTTGATAGCAGGGTTTACAGTAGAAATCTGACGAGAGGGTTGTTGATAGCAGGATTTACAGTAGAAACCTGACGAGAGGGTTGTTGATAGCATGATTTACAGTAGAAATCTGACGAGAGGGTTGTTGATAGCAGGGTTTACAGTAGAAACCTGACGAGAGGGTTGTTGATAGCAGGGTTTACAGTAGAAACCTGACGAGAGGGTTGTTGATAGCAGGGTTTACAGTAGAAACCTGACGAGAGGGTTGTTGATAGCAGGGTTTACAGTAGAAACCGGACGAGAGGGTTGTTGATAGCAGGGTTTACAGTAGAAACCTGACGAGAGGGTTGTTGATAGCAGGGTTTACAGTAGAAACCGGACGAGAGGGTTGTTGATAGCAGGGTTTACAGTAGAAATCTGACGAGAGGGTTGTTGATAGCAGGGTTTACAGTAGAAACCTGACGAGAGGGTTGTTGATAGCAGGGTTTACAGTAGAAACCTGACGAGAGGGTTGTTGATAGCAGGGTTTACAGTAGAAACCTGACGAGAGGGTTGTTGATAGCAGGGTTTACAGTAGAAATCTGACGAGAGGGTTGTTGATAGCAGGGTTTACAGTAGAAATCTGACGAGAGGGTTGTTGATAGCAGGGTTTACAGTAGAAACCTGACGAGAGGGTTGTTGATAGCAGGGTTTACAGTAGAAACCTGACGAGAGGGTTGTTGATAGTAGGGTTTACAGTAGAAACCTGACGAGAGGGATGTTGATAGCAGGGTTTACAGTAGAAACCTGACGAGAGGGTTGTTGATAGCAGGATAAAAGACTATTGACTGGCGGTTCTGCCAGCCAGGCTGATAACGAGCCAATGACAGGAGAGGATCCATCTGTCTCAGAAGCTGCCTCTCAGCCAGCCCTCCTCCTCCTGAGAGTGGATTCATCCTGCCTTTTATTGCCCAGCGACAGCTCATGATTTTAACGTTCAGTATGATGATGTACTGCCATTTTATGATACAGTATCTTCCATTTTGGATGGGTTGTGTTGTGTCCTGTTTTGAGTGTTTTGAAATAGATGAGGTGATTAACAAATATATATGATAGTTTGATTACTCAATATGCCAGGTATCCATCACCACAGTGTTCAAGACATAGACTAATCACTAAGTTTCTCTCTCTCCCCCTCCCTCGCTCTCTCTTCCTCTCACAGATATCGAGCAGGAGAAGAAAGCTGAAGATGGCTCCAAATGAAACGCCATGGTTCCTCTCCTCCAGTCATTCCTCTCTCTTCTCCTCCACAATAAATAATGTCTATCACTTCTGCTTCTGCTTCTTTGCGTATCAACAAGTTAGTTAATCACAATGGCGTTGACTCTGATGCTGTGGGGGTTAGGGGTGCATGATTAGTAAAGGGAAGGCCAATACGATTTTAACCGTCAATGTTTTAAATTGTGCTTTTTCATGCAGTCTTGGTTGGAAAGGGGTGAAGTCAGATAAATATGGATGAGACAGGGTGTTTGAACAGATGGCAGAAATGAGCATGTTGCGTTTGTGTCAATGACATATAATACTGTCACCATCAACAGTTTGTTCCACTGTCAACTATGCCCAATGTTCTGCCTGTACACGGTGCCATTCTGGATAAATTCTGTAACAATAACATGAGAGAAGATATTTTTGTTTTAATAAAATGAGTGTGGTAATACTGAATTTGGGTCTTGTCTTAATTGTTTTGACTTCGGGCAATGAGTGTAATCTTTTATCATTATTGAGTATGCAATACTATTAAGATTCATTAAAATATGTACAGTGCATTCGGGAAGTATTCAGACCCCTTCACTTTTTCCACATTTTGTTACGTTACAGCCTTATTCTAAAATGAAAAAAAACGATCTACACACAATACCCCATAATGACAAAGCAGAAACAGGCTTTTAGAAATGTATTTACATAAGTATTGAGACCCTTTGCTATGAGACTTGAAATTGAGCTCAAGTGCATCCTGTTTCCATTGATCATCCTTGAGATGTTTCTACAACTTGATTGGAGTCCACCTGTGGTCAATTATATTGATTGGAAATGATTTGGGAAGGCACACTCCTGTCTATTTAAGGTCCCACAGTTGACAGTGCATGTCAGAGCAGAAACCAAGCCATGAGGTCGAAGGAATTGTCCGTAGAGCTCCGAGACAGGATTGTGTCGAGGCACAGATCTGGGGAAGGGTACCAAAAGATGTCTGCAGCATTGAAGGTCCCCAAGAACACAGTCGCCTCCATCATTCTTAAATGGAAGAAGTTTGGAACCACCAAGACTATTCCTAGAGCTGGCCGCCCAGCCAAACTGAACAATTGGGGGAGAAGGGCCTTGGTCAGGGAGGTGACCAAGAACCTGCTGGAGTTCCTCTGTGGAGATGGGAGAACCTTCCAGAAGGACAACCATCTCTGCCGCACTCAACCAATCAGGCCTTTATGGTAGAGTGGCCAGACAGAAGCCACTCCTCAGTAAAAGGCACATGACAGCCCGTTTGGAGTTTTTTTCAAAAGGCAACTAAAGGACTCTCAGACCATGAGAAACAAGATTCTCTGGTCTGATGAAACCAAGCTTGAACTCTTTGACCTGAAGGCCAAGCGTCACGTATGGAGGAAACCTGACTGTTTTTCAGAGGCAGGGACTGGGAGACTAGTCAGGATCGATGGAAAGATGAACGGAGCAAAGTACAGAGAGATCCTTGATGAAAACCTGCTCCAGAGCGCTCAGGACCTCAGACTGGGGGTGAAGGTTTACCTTCCAACAGGACAATGACCCTAAGCACACAGCCAAGACAACGCAGAAGTGGCTTCGGGACAAGTCTCTGAATGTCCTTGAGTGGCCCAGCCAGAGCCCGGACTTGAACCCGATCGAACATCTCTGGAGAGACCTGAAAATAGCTGTGCAGCGACGCTCCCCATCCAACCTGACAGAGCTTGAGAGGATCTGCAGAGAAGAATGGGAGAAATTCCCCACATTTTATTTAGATTTTATTTAACCTTTATTTAACTAGGCAAGTCAGTTAAGAACAAATTCTTATTTACAATGACGGCGTACCAAAAGGCAAAATGCCTCCTGCGGGGACAGGGGCTGGGATAAAATATATATATATAGGACAAAACACACATCACGACAAGAGAGACCACAACACTATATAAAGAGAGACCTAAGACAACAACATAGCATGGCAGCAACACATGACAACACAGCATGGTAGCAACACAACATGGCAGCAGCACAACATGGTAGCAGCACAAAACATGGTACAAACATTATTGGGCACAGACAACAGCACAGAGGGCAAGAAGGTAGAGACAACAATTCATCACGCGAAGCAGCCACAACTGTCAGTAAGAGTGTCCATGATTGAGTCTTTGAATAAAGAGATGGAGATAAAACTGTCCAGTTTGAGTGTTTTTTGCAGTTTGTTCCAGTCACTAGCTGCAGCGAACTGAAAAGAGGAGCGACCCAGGGATGTGTGTGCTTTGGGGACCTTTAACAGAATGTGACTGGCAGAACGGGTGTTGTATGTGGAGGATGAGGGCTGCAGTAGGTATCTCAGATAGGGGGGAGTGAGGCCTAAGAGGCTATACAAGTGGGTCTTGCGACGAGTATACAGAGATGACCAGTTTACAGAAGAGTATAGAGTGCAGTGATGTGTCCTATAAGGAGCATTGGTGGCAAATCTGATGGCCGAATGGTAAAGAACATCGAGCTTCTCGAGAGCACCCTTACCTGCCGATCTATAAATTACGTCTCCGTAATCTAGCATGGGTAGGATGGTCATCTGAATCAGGGTGAGTTTGGCAGCTGGGGTGAAAGTGGAGCGATTACGGTAGAGGAAACCAAGTCTAGATTTAACCTTAGCCTGCAGCTTTGATATGTGCTGAGAGAAGGACAGTGTACCGTCTAGCCATACTCCCAAGTACTTGTATGAGGTGACTACCTCAAGCTCTAAACCCTCAGAGGTAATAATCAGACTGGTGGGGAGAGGGGCATTCTTCTTACCAAATCACATGACTTTGGTTTTGGAGGTGTTCAGAACAAGGTTAAGGGCAGAGAAAGCTTGTTGGACACTAAGAAAGCTTTGTTGTCCGGGGAGGGGCCAGCTGAGTAAGACTGTATCATCTGCATATAAATGGATGAGAGAGCTTCCTACTGCCTGAGCTATGTTGTTGATGTAAATTGAGAAGAGCATGGGGCCTAGGATCGAGCCTTGGGGTACTCCCTTGGTGACAGGCAGTGGCTGAGACAGCAGATGTTCTGACTTTATACACTGCACTCTTTGAGAGAAGTAGGTAGCAAACCAGGCCAAAGACCCCTCAGAGACACAATACTTCTTAGCCGGCCCACAAGAATGGAATGGTCTACCGTATCAAAAGCTTTGGCCAAGTCAATAAAAATAGCAGCACAACATTGCTTAGAATCAAGGGCAATGGTGACATCATTTAGGACCTTTAAGGTTGCAGTGACACATCCATAACCTGGGCGGAAACCAGATTGCATACCAGAGAGAATACTATAGACATCAAGAAAGCCAGTCAGTTGATTATTGACAAGTTTTTCCAACACTTTTGATAAACAGGGCAAAATAGAATTGGCCTATAACAGTTAGGATCAGCTTGATAAAGGACGCACCTTTATTTACAGGTGTGCCAAGCTTGTAGTGTCATACCCAAGAAGACTTGAGGCTGTAATCGCTGCCAAAGGTGCTTCAACAAAGTAGAGTAAAGGGTCTGAATACTTATGTAAATGTGATCGTCCAGGGTAGGGGAGGGATTTGGCCGGCAGGGGATGTAGCTCAGTTGGTAGAGCATGGCGTTTGCAACGCCAGGGTTGTGGGTTCGATAAAATAATGTATGCACTAACTGTAAGTCGCTCTGGATAAGAGCGTCTGCTAAATGACTAAAATGTAAATGTAAATATTTCATTTTTTTCATTTTTAATACATTTGAATTTCGCTTTGTCATTATGCGGTATTGTGTGTAGATTGATGAGGGGGGGAAAATATTTAATCAATTTTAGAATAAGGCTGTAACATAACAAAATATGGAAAAAGTCAAAGGGTCTAAATACTTTCCAAATGCACTGTATGTGAATGGACAAAGCCATCGATCACGTGACACCATTCATTCCTATGTGAAGACTCAATAGTGCATTGAAGCCAAATGAAGTCGGTTAAAATGGCGTCTCATGGAGACATAAGATGCGCAGTTTGAGCTACTCCAGGAAGTGATGTTAGCTCAGTGCTGCCCCCTCTCATTGAGTATCTCAAGTTGAAGGCCGACGGGGGTACTGCAGGCTGCCATAGAAACTAAATTATCCTTATAACTTATTTTAAACTAGGCAAGTCAGTTAAGAACAAATTCTTATTTACAATGACGGCCTACACCGGCCATATACAGTGAGGGAAAAAAGTATTTGATCCCCTGCTGATTTTGTACGTTTGCCCACTGACAAAGACATGATCAGTCTATCATTTTAATGGTAGGTTTATTTGAACAGTGAGAGACAGAATAACAACAACAAAATCCAGAAAAACGCATGTCAAAAATGTTATAAATTGATTTGCATTTTAATGAGGGAAATAAGTATTTGACCCTTCTGCAAAACATGACTTAGTACTTGGTGGCAAAACCCTTGTTGGCAATCACAGAGGTCAGACGTTTCTTGTAGTTGGCCACCAGGTTTGCACACATCTCAGGAGGGGTTTTGTTCCACTCCTCTTTGCAGATCTTCTCCAAGTCATTAAGGTTTCGAGGCTGATGTTTGGCAACTCGAACCTTCAGCTCCCTCCACAGATTTTCTATGGGATTAAGGTCTGGAGACTGGCTAGGCCACTCCAGGACCTTAATGTGCTTCTTCTTGAGCCACTCCTTTGTTGCCTTGACCGTGTGTTTTGGGTCATTGTCATGCTGGAATACCCATCCACGACCCATTTTCAATGCCCTGGCTGAGGGAAGGAGGTTCTCACCCAAGATTTGATGGTACATGGCCCCGTCCATCGTCCCTTTGATGCGGTGAAGTTGTCCTGTCCCCTTAGCAGAAAAACACCCCCAAAGCATAATGTTTCCACCTCCATGTTTGACGGTGGGGATGGTGTTCTTGGGGTCATAGGCAGCATTCCTCCTCCTCCAAACACGGCGAGTTGAGTTGATGCCAAAGAGCTCGATTTTGGTCTCATCTGACCACAACACTTTCACCCAGTTCTCATCTGAATCATT